TGACACGTAAAGTCAATGGGGGAGGCCAAATTCGCTTGACAACTACATGATCCACTTAGCAACTGCAGTGATTCACTTAACAGCCATGGCAAAAAATATGATAACAAGGTTGGCCTCAGTTATGGCCATAAGTCAAGGATTTCCTGCATTAAGCCAGGATATCTTTAGAGATTTGGGATTTCGTGCATGACAACTGATATTTTGATATCACTTTTCCATCAAATTAGGAGATCCTTGAGATTGGAACCAATAACAGAACCCTGAAATGGACATTACTGGTCCAGAGGAGATATAGTGTATTGGCCATTGAGCTGTATTATAGAGGAGTACGCTGAAAATTCACTTCCTTTTATCTGGATTACAGTGAGGTTCCTGCATTGTACTTTTGCCGTGATACTCAAAGGGGTGAAGTGGGGAAAGAGCACATCCATTTTTTTTTCCTTCCAGCGAGAAAAGATGAACTGTGCCCTCCTAATTCTGCCTGCATTAGAGAAACAGAGTTCTGGCAGGTAGGATTGTGCTTGTGCGTCAACACACAGCATCATCACACGAGGCTTTGTTATGAGCTTACGCTGCCTGACTAGGGAGAAAGCTATCTGTAAAGATCTTAAGGCTGGCTGCCTGCATTTCTGCTCTCCAGAAGGACTGCCAGTTACCTAATTCAAATTAGTGCAATATTAATGCTTTTATGGACAATAAAAACTACTCAAGACAAATACAGTCCCTATTAGAACAATTGCCCACTTAAAGAAATGGGTGCATTTTTTATCATATATGAGGTAATTAATGATTAAGGTCGCCCTCCTGTGCTCATTTACCTGCAAGTATCTCCAGTTATTGTATTTATTTATTTACTTAACTATATGGCTATTCCTAGTAATTGCTTGTGTCTATAATACATAAAAACATATCAACAATGTGAAAATAAAAACAGTAACTTTTCTCTATCCATAAAAGCACAATAATTAAATGCACGCAAGCAATGGAGTATGAGAGCTATGATGCACTATGATGCAATCTTAATGCAATTGTTAAATCTGCATAGCTTTGCACCAGGGGTAGGTTCCGGCAGGCACTACTGCCGGTTTGCTCATTGGCATGCTGTGCACGTGCGTTTGATGTGTGCAGTGCAGGCATGCACAATACAATAAAAAATTGTTCTGTGCATGCGCAGAAGCGAAAAACAAGATGCCCCTGCCTTTCAGCAATTTGCCTCCTTGCAACAAAACCAAGTTTCAGTTTCCATTTCAGCACAAGCAACTGATTGTTGGTTGGATCGGCCTCCCCCCCCCCGATCAGCTGTTTCAGGCTGCAGGGATTGCCATAGCCTATTGCCGCCTCCATGTGCCCTATTTTCCGCCTGTTCAGGGCAGCAGGGATTGGAATGGGTGGAAAATGGGGCATGTGAAGGCCAAAAATGGGGTGCACAATGGCAAAAAATGGGGTGCGCAGAGACCAAAAATGGGGCATGGAGGCCACAATAGGCAATGGCAATCCCTGCAGCCTGAAACAGCTGATGATCTGGAGGCCGATCCAACCAACTATCAGCTGGTTGTGCTAATCAGGCTGTGCTGAAGCTAAAATTAAAATGGGCTGTTTGCTGTTTGCTGCAAGGAGGCAAACTACTAGGATGCCAAAGGGTAGGGGCCGGTGGGTAGGTGGGACTACATTCGGTGTATAAGATGCACCCAAATTTTCAGCCCTTTTTAGCGGGGGAAGTGTGTCTTATACTCCAAAAAATACAGTACTTATAAATAATAAAGGTGGAATAAAAGTCTAATAAATAAATAGTATGCATAAAAAGAATGCTCTAAAGTAGTGACTTTCTTCCTCCATCCTAATATTTTTTGTATCTAAAGGCTTAATCGGAAGAAGCTAGAAAGTAGCGACCAGAATCAGGTCCAAACCAGTCTACAATTGCACTGAACCTTGCAGAGGTTTCCTGCAGAAACATCCAATTCTACATTTCATTCAAAAGAAGGTTTCTAGGGCAGTCCAATCAGATGGAGATTTCATATTTCAAGATTGCCTGGTGGGAGCAGACTTTTTTTTCTAGTTCATATGTTTTAGAAACAATTTTAATTCATGAGATGTAGACATACAGGCAAGAGCCTGTTATGTGTAGTGGTTAAGGCATTTGGTGGGAAACCAGGAGGCCTAGTCCTGTCTTAGGCACAAAGCCAGCTAGGTGACCTTCAGCTAGTCATCTTCTGTCCACAGTTAGGAAGGAAGCAATTGCAAATCACTTCTGAAAAACTTGCCAAGAAAACTGCAGGGACTTGTCCAGGCAATCTCTGAGAACTGAGGGCACAGTTGAACAGAAGGAATTTTTAAAAAAAGATACACAAGCAATCTGCCTTCCTTCACTTGCATAATGCAATAACTTCAGTAGATTATTATTTAATAAAAGAAAATGGTTCACTATTGGACAGTTGATCAGTTTGTTTCATTACTAATATTTCTAGCGAACTCTAGGTTCCCAGTTAATTTTCTGTCAGTGAGGAATATTAGGCAAGACTTCCACATCCTTCCAAAGAACAGACCCACTGAGGTCTGTGCGACTTTAAGCACAGTCCCTGTGCTTTAAGAATGAGAATGTGTTAGTTCACCTATGAATATAATGCTCAATATAATTTACCATATTTTTGGAGTATAAGACGTACTTCCCCCCCTCCCCCAGGTGGAAATGTCCTTGCATCTTATACTCCAAATATTGCGGTGGTGGGAAGAGAGGTTGTTGTGGCGCCTATCAGCTGTTCTAGAATGGGCGGTGGTGGAAAACAGGCCACACCGAACAGGCGGTGATAAATGGGAGGCGGTAAATGGTCTGTGCTGAATGGGCGATGGCAGCGAACAGGCAGTGGCGAATGGGCCATGGCAAATGGGCGGTAGCACTGGTGGCGAATAGGCTGCTGTGAACGGGCTGCAGCGAATGGGTTGCAGTGAATGGGCCACAACAAACGGCCCAGATGAATGTTGGGAGGCAGAGGCAGATTTTTTTCCCCTTGTTTTCCTCCCCAAAAGCTACCTGGGTCTTATAGTCCAGAACATCTTATAGTCTGAAAAATATGGTGCATATAATTCTAAGCCATATATAATTAATGATTGTGAACTCTTATATTAAGAGGTAGTATTATGTAAGAATCTGACAATTGTGGGTTATTTTACAAAGCATGAATAACAAATCCTGGTTTAGTATTATGCTAAGTCAGCAATAGTTATGAAGTTTACTGTTCCCCATACAGCCTTGCTGTCACACACCATTCCTCTCAATGAACTGGTCCAAAGTCTACAAAAACCTAGCGTCATTTCAAAAAACAAATGTGAAAAACTAGAGTATATACGGTAATAAGGACTGAGCAATATTATTAATTGTATTTGGTGAACACACATGTACTAAGAAGACAGACACTTGATGTACCAATTATAACTGAGCAGATCAAAAGTTCTCTGATGATTCATGTACAACCATTGTTCATATCTTCCATATCCCCAATGACTGTGGAAAGGCATCTTATCTTGCATCACAAAATGCCTGAGCCATTCCTGTCTATATTAAAACAGGGGTACCCAATCCCCAGGCCATGAACCACTACCAGCCCGTGGCTCCTTTACAACTGGGACACGCAAGTGATGGGCCGGTGCACAGGCACGCACAGCTCAACTTGAGCTGTGAGATGCATGTGCATACACATGTATGCACAGTCTGCCGTGCGTACAGCCTGGTTCCCCTCTCCCCCCACCCCACCCCGCTGGCCTGCCAAGCTACATTAAAATGAGTATAAGTACCATTGTTCTCCTCAAGGAATTTTGAAAGCTATATTTCTCTCTTATGGACCAGCATACTAACAGAAATCTTAATATCTTTGCTATTCTACATTTTGCAAGACTCTGTTTTTCCTCATGTACAAAGAATCCATGGCTGAGACACGATGACCTCTGCTTCTATTGCAATTGGTTCTCCTAATACTCCTCCATCAAGTGGCATCATCTTAAGCATCTGAGAAACAAATTTTCTACCCAGTTTCTTCCAATCCAACACTAATCACAACTTTGGGCCCCCTCTTCATATTTACAGTTTACTCAGTTTACCAAAACTTGTTATTGTCTTTCCATACAGAAAGACAATATGACAGAATGACAGAAAATTTAAATGCAAAGGGTCATACTGGCAGGTTGCAATGGAAACATAATATTCATACACATTCAGTGTGGTCTGGGAATATGCAAATATGGATGTTGCTAGTTATGCAATACATTCAGAACAGAATAACAGAGTTGGAAGGGGATCTTGGAGGTCTTCTAGTCCAACTCCCTGCTCAGGCAGGAAACCCTACACCACTTCAGACAATGGTTGTCCAATCTCTTCCTTTGTCTGATTTACACTGGAGGATTATGGAACTTGGCTAAAGAAAGAGCATCCTTCTCACATATTTCCTTTCCAAAATTTATTTTTCTGGCAAGGAACAAGAAGGGAGAGCCAACTATTCAGTGGATCCATTAAAGGCATCCTTAGGACAAATTGAGAAGATAGGAAAGAAGGAAGAAATTAAGGGAGACAGGTGAGAATTCCCACCACTGGAAACCAATTCTCTATACATTTCCAGATGAAACGTGCAAAGTCTCTTTGCAAAGTTTCCTTTGGAACCCAAGTTGAGCCATTAATTAGCTTGTTCAACTTCTCAAGCCCCATAGTCATGTGAGGCCAACTTTTGGTTGGTGGAAACTTGCATAGGACATGGTCATAATATTTCCTTTGAGATATAACATGAAAATGAAGGGAACTTGGCAAGGTGCTGCTCCTTCTAGGATACAGAGTTGGAAGGCACTTAAGTATTGTTCTTTTGTTAAGATGAGCACAGGGTTTCTGCGTGAATATTTTCAACATTTTTGCAATTATTAATAATAGTTGTTATGCCTTTCCTAATAGGAGCTTACAGAAGTAAAAAGACAAATTGCCATCAATCTGAGAATATCTCAGTATGTGGGCAGGTACTTACCTTTCTGTGATTGTTTCTCTAAGACCACTGGTGACCCCCTTGACCACTGTGCTAGCCTTTGGAGTCAAGACCACCTGAGATATAAAAAAAGAGCCCTTCTTCCTTCGCTCAGTGATGGATGCCTGGAGAAACTGAATCAACTTTTCTGGATCAGTTGTGTTGGCCCACGGAGCTGGCATCATCTGTCCTGGCCATAGAAATGGGACCTCTAAAGCCACTGGACTGTGATAAAACACCAAAACTTGATAATCCTTCTCCCACAGGTATTGGAGAGAGACTTCATGGGCAAAGATGGCTGGGCACATTTTACTCCCAAATGTGTCTTTGAGCATTTGAACCAGTTTTTCATGGTGGCATTTCTGCATCCCGTAGAAGTGGTTGAAGTCCAACAAGACCACTTCTTTATGATGGTCATTGAGAAAGGCACTGATCTCCTCCAGGCCCTCGTTGACTTTGGCACTGAATAAACCATGAGCGAAGTAGAGTTCATTATCAGGGTCTCTGGGCTTTGTGGAGATCCGAAGGTCGAAATACCGTATCCCTGCTCCAAGCTGGCTTGTAAAATTCATTGTCTGTGTTGCAAGCCATTTCCTCATCAGCTTTTTAGCCACAGTTCCAAACACGGAGACGAAATTCTGGACAGTTTCTGGCTGCTCAGGTCCCACTGGAGAGGCCTCATCAATATAGAAGCTAAATGAATCATGGGACCCTAAAGATAACACAAAAGAATAATTTGAAACAAAATCAGCAAGATTTGAACACCCATAAGTGATATCATGGACTCATCAGGATCGCCTAACTATTCCATGAAAATGTGCTGAAATTCAAATAGCAGTTCAATTTACTTAACTGTCTCATATTCAGGTAAATAGGTGGGATAGTCTGTAATTCATACAGTTAATAAAAGAAATAAAAACAGCATTTGTGGTTAAAAGAAGGTATGGATATTTTAAAAGACAGTTGTAATATATGTAACAATATTTTCTTTGATTATATCAGACATGAATGGATGTGTAATGTATATATAAGACACTAGTAGTCTCTTTCCCTCCCTCCCTCCCTCTCTCTCTCCCTTCCTCCGTCTCTGTCTCTCCTCCTCCCTCCCCCCCTCTGTCTCCCTCTCTCTTTCTCTGTCTCCCTCTTCCTCCCTCCCTCCCTCTCTCTTCCTCCCTCCCTCTCTGTCTCCCTCTCTGCCTCTCCCCCTCCCTCTCTCTGTGCCCTTCTCTATCTCCCCCTCTCTCTCTCCCATCCTCCCTCCCTCTCCCTCCCTCTGTCTCCTTCTCTCTCTTTCGTTCTCCAGGGTTTTTATGAAAATAAGATTGGAAACGGTAATACTTCTATAACATCTTGAACTTTTAGACAGGCATGCAATGAAGTAAGGAATAAACAAACCAATGAGGTAAATTACTTGGCACCAGATGAAAAATTTGCAGAACAAAGAATGATATTAATAGAGAAGATTGACTAGATGGAAAAAAATGTCTGAATTGATTTCTTAGCTACTACTTGTTCTCAAATCATATCTGTGCAGAAACTCTCCTGGGTTCTGGCACAGACAATGACTCAACAAGGACAATTATTTGGTTTTCATCCATAAATCCTAGGTAAGAATGCCTAGCTCTTGTCTGATCCATTAGTTATACAGGAAGTATATGGGACTGATACCCCGCAGTGTGAACGAGGAAAACAGATGATACACCAAAGTGCATAACCCCAGCACTTGTTTAAAAGGAACTAATTATAAATGTCTGAGGCAACAGGTAGCTGTTCACTACAACATATGAGCAATAGGTGGCTTTGCTGAGATCCCAGATCCCTGCAGGTGAACAGAAGGAATATACACCTGCTACCTCAGTCTCACAGAACGAGATCTATGAATAGTGTATAACATTGGTACTATCCTGCAATTTATTATCCATCCTTTTACTCTGTTGTTCAGGATGAAGTAAGTGCCTGATAAATCTATCAAATCTGGACCATGCACAACATCTTAAGAACACACCATGATTATAAAGCTGTAGAGAGGCATTAACCACCAAGTATGCTGGCTGGAAATGTTTAGAATTAAAGCTCAACACATTTAAACGTTAGCAGCTTGGTGAAGGCAACCTTACACCTATCATATATGAAAACATATGCCCACGGCGTATTTAGCAGTAGATATACTAGCACACCATCTGAATATGGAAAAAATAAAATATCTCAATAGCGTGGCAAAATTAGGTCCTCTCCTGTTTTTGAAGGAGAGTATGCCAAAGAATGAGGGAGAGGTAGAACTATAAACCTACACTGAATATGATAAAAAGCATATATTGAAGGTTCAGCCACACTTATCTTTCCTGAGAACATCACTAGGATCTCCTCCTGTTCATTTTTCTTCTTTTCTTCCTCTTTGGTAATACAAAAGAGCATCTGTTTGCTAGTGCATCACAAACCAAAGGAAATAGAACAGGGATGTCAAAAACATGGGGCCCGTGGGCCGGATCCAGCCTGCAAGGTGCTTAGATCTGGCCCGTGGGACAGCCCTGGAAACAGCAAAGGACTGGCTCGTGGGGACTCTGCCTGCAAAAATGGAGCTTGGGTGGGCCACCCTCTGCCAATGAAAACAGAGCTCAGGGGGCACGCATGCACACCTCCCCCCCCCAGCTCAATTTTCGCTGGCAGAGGGCTAGTAAAACAATCTAAAAACAAAAAAAAGGGAGAAATGCTTCCCATTTTGCATTTGAGCGTGCAAGAAGGGACAGGAAAGGAGAAAGGGAAAGAGGAAAGAGAAAGAAAAACAAGGAAAGAGAGCAAGGAAGGAAAAATAAGGAAAGAGGGGAAGGAAGAAGAAAGGATAATGAAGTGGGAAGGAAAAGGAAGGAAGGAAGGAAGGAAGGAAATTATAATGAGAATGAGGGAGGATCTGAGGGAAGTCCTGCCTTAGCACTTGGCCACCACAGGTGCTCCCGACATGAGTGACTTCCAGCTGGCCATGCCCATCCCAGCCCCTTAAGGTCAAACACAACTCTGATGCAGCCCTCAATGAGATTGAGTTTGACATCCCTGAAATAGAAAAATGAGCAGTTTGGGGGGGACTTAAATAACAGGGAGGGCATACTATCTTTTAACTGCAGCATTTTTCTTGGCAGGGGGTGGGCAGAGAGGGGAAGCAAGTGGGATCACTGGAACATCATGCCAAGCCTTGCACTGAGCCTGGCTGTGTGGATCTTGTTCCACAATGGTCCTGAGCTCTTGGGAATCAGTCTTGGTTGCAGCCAAGGTTTATCGGAAATTTCTCAGGCAAAGTCAGGAATATGATACCAGGCTACCAAAGACCTAACTCCAGGGGAAAATAAACGTGGATCATTGGCAGCAAATGAAATTTCGGTTCTCATTTCTTCCTCCCCCCACAAAAAACCCCAACAAGACAGATATTTTCATTATGCCAGATTCTGTTTCAATTTTAATATCTCTCATTGCTCTGCTCATGGCTCTATGCTTCATTTACTTCTATGCCAGGGAAGCTTCCATCCTTACTACTGATGTAAGTGCCTCGAGAGCTGAAGATAAGATCAAGAATAGCATTTCTACCAATAAAAAAGATTATGTCTTTTCCTCCTAAGGATTTCATTAGGAGTAGAGATGTGAACTCATTCTAGGTTGGGGGAACATTATCTAAATTAGGTAACCACTGAGCAGATAAGAAGCAGCATTCCTGAGCAGTGGGGGGCAGGGTGGGTGGGACCCCCATATCTGGGTTTAGCTTCTTATAGTCCCTCGGGGAAAGGCATTTCTCTTCCTCCTGCTTAGATGTTCAGGCGGCGAGAGTTAGCATTCCAGTATGTGCTCAGCCCACACTTGTGGAGTGCATTATTAGATGCCTTTGTGAAGCCCAGGTTGCCATTCCTTTCTCTTTCTGTGTACACTTCTTGCCATACCACACTGAAGGCCAAGCATGGAGGGAATTATTCTTTACAGACTGTCCGAGTGGATGTGAAAGATGCTAGATAGCTACTCTTGTGTTTAAATCTTGGAGAACAAACAACAACTGGTTAGCAAAGACTAGACCAGTGATGGTGAACCAAGGGCTTTCCAAAGGGCCGGGGGAGGCCATTTTGGCCCTCCCCAGACTTAAGGAAAGCTTCCGGAGCCTGGGGAGGGCAAAAATTCCCCTTCCCCCACACACATGGGAGTCACTTGTGTATACGTGCTGGGGGTTCGTTTGTGCATGCACAGGTGGGAGGGTTCCTCGCACAGGTGCAGGTGGGGGCGTTGCTTGCACATGGACAGATGGGTGGGCACGCATGCGCGATAGTGCACAGGCACACAGTTTTGTCACACCTTTAGAAAAAAGCTAGCCATCACTGGACTAGACCAAACCAAACAAGCATCTATGCTATGTCGCCAAAGTTAAACTCCCAGCACCCTTCATCACTGGGCTTACTGACTAAGGATGCTGGTAGTTGCCTTCTTTCTCCATGAAAGCAACCTTCCTTGGTAGAAAGATCTAAAAGCCTTTCTTTTGGTGAGGGCATCTAGCAGCAAATGCAGCTCTTGGACTGAAGAAAAGGTTGAATGACATTCTCTTAGAACTGAGCAAGGCCTGATCTGGGATTCTGAACACATGCACACAGACTCATGCATACAAACATTGCTTTCCACATCAAAAGTATATTTTCTGATCCACTTGTCTGAAAGCCACTTGAAATAATTTATGTTATGCAAGACTTTCAACAACAAAAGAAAATGGAATAGAGAACGGGCTATCTCTTTCCAACCATTATTCCCCTTCGTTTTATCAAGTTATATGCAACCCATTCGACCTGATTATATTATTTCTATTTAACTCCACAAGAGCAAGCATTCCAAATATTGGGTACTGACAATATTTATAGGCTATCTCAATTCTAAGGACCTTTGGGCTGGAACAGCAAAGCAAACTATAAATGCAAAAGACAGTAGAAAGGAATTAAAACCCTATTATCATAGACGACCAAATCAAGCAGAGGCTGAAAGTATAATGGAATAATTGTGCTTTAACCTTGTGAAGGACAATCCATGGAATGGAAGCTACCATTGAGAAGTCTACTTGCCTCATCTACTTCCCATGAACTACATAAGAGGGGCTACCCAGCAGGCTTTTCTTAGATGATTGGGCAAGCAAGTTCAATTCTGGCAATTCCTAATTCCTAAACAACTTGGATTTAGGTAGGATTTCTCTAAATCATTATTTTTCAAACTTTTTTCCAAACGTTTTTTTATTTTTCATTCTCTTACATACTATTGTAAGTATACATTCACATAATTATACTTTTTCTTTATATTTTTCATTCTTATACATTTGTTATTCCATTTAATAGGTTATAATATACAGTTTGGGTTGGTTTGTTTACCATCCCTTCCGCCTGTTGTAACACCGCCTTATTTTCCCTTTCTTTTCTCCCTCCCTTCTCTACTTTCTTCCATCATCCTCTCCTTCCTCTTCCTTCTTCCCTTATCTCTTCCCTATTCCTACTCTTCCTCTTCCCCTTCCTACCCCCTCTCCTTCTCTTTCTCTCCCTTCCACCCTTCCACCCTCCTCTCCTTCCCTCTTTCTTCCTCCCCTCCTCTTCCTCTCATTCTCCCCTCCTCTCTCCCTTTCTTTTTCTGTTATTATAGGTATCTCTTTCAAATCTCAGTTTATGTTTTCTTGGGATGGTATTTCCACAAACAGAAATATAATTTGAT